TGTTCAACATGATGGCCTTAGGTTCAGAACTGGCTGATAATCGATTATTTGTTGGTGATAATCGAATATCTAGCATGGCAGCTTCTGTTCCCAAAGTTCTGCAACCTATGAAAGTCGAATGTCACCTTAGGATAATCGATTGTCAAGTTGGTTTGTCTAGATGTTAAGTCCAGAGAGGCCTGATAATCGATTATTGCTCTGTGATAATCGATTGTCAAGTGAACCATCTCTGACTCCAGAATCCGCAAGGCCTGATAATCGATTACCAACCTCTAATGAAGGGATTGACGGAACGATGGAACAAGATGAACGAACGGTTGTCAACGTTGAACGACGAATGAATGAATGAACGACTCCTCGCGTAGCTGCCGCTGTGATTGGCCGAACACCATTAGAGAGAGAGAGTTGTGATGTTGAATAGGAGTTACAAGTTGGTGAAGAAGGTGAAGGGAGGAGGGAGTTTTATAATCATGTGAATTTATGGGGATTTATGGAGGTATAATGAAGGAATAATGATGGGGGTTATGGAAATGAAGGGTGTGTGGCGTGTGGTTCTTGATTTGGGGAGTTACCTCCCTAAATTCCATTTTGTTGTGTAAAATTTTGACCTGAACGGTACACGGTTTTTCCCCCAAACGGGTCTGAATTGAGATCCGATTGCGCTTTTGGAACCAGACAGTCAAAACGAATTTAATGACATGTTCAGACAATTTATCTAAGAACTTTATTTTCAAACTTATGGGTCCACCCCAATCATGAATTAATTTATTTAATTAATGTTGAGAGGTCCGTTTTCAAAACATCTTTTTATATTTAACACACATTAACTTTTGAAAGCCATTTGTAGAGATCAAAATCTCAATTTAAAATAATAAGTCTCAATAAATAAATAATATTTATTTATTTAAAACTAGGTCGGTTTGTAGGGCGTTACACAAACGCCTTTGCCATGTCAAGTTTTACAATGACATTACCTCCAAAAGTTTATCTATTCAGGTTGTGTAACGCTTCCATAGCAAGGAGAATGTGGTCAGACATGCATTTCCCTTTTTGAAACGCCGCCTGATTGTTGGAAATGATTTTAGGGAGGATAGTTTTTAACCTGCAAGCAAGGATTTTAGTGTTAACTTTGCTCATAAAAGTACTCAAAGAAATGGGCATGTAGTCGTCGAAGCTCTTCGGGCAATCCTTCTTAGGGATTAAAGTAATAAGGGTTCTGCCGTAAGCACGGGGAATGGCAAACCCCAAGAAAAACTCCTGGGAGGCTTTAAACATGTCCTCCTTGATGATTTCCCAGGTGGTTCTAAAGAAAAAGCCGTTGTATCCGTCAGGTCTTGAGGCGTTGCTGCTGTCAAGTGCCCAAACTGCATTTTTAACTGTTGAAACACGGGCTTGTCATGTTTTCGTACTAAAGCCGTGTTCGTTTTTATGACAGGTTTTGATAATGCCAAACCGTCGTGATCAAGTGAAGAATTGAATATACAAGGCGAAGAACGAAGATAAGAACAAGAGCTAAAAGGGACCAAGAACGAAGACCGCAGCCTTTAGTATCGTTGAGTCAGTCATATTTGTGATCAAGACCGACCCAACCTTCACGCACTGGCTCTTTAGGCTAAACCCTTTTATTGCATTTGTCACATCATAAAAATGTTTTTCAAACATGTTTAAATCATTAAAAACACTTGGTGTTCGCCCAAACCAAAAACCAAGATATCCGGCGTTCGGCTTTCAGAAACCGGCGTTCGGCTTTCGGTTATCGGCTTTGGTTTTTGTCGTCCGAACCAACCAAGTGGTTTTCAACATTCTTTGATTGATTTTCACTCTTTGGCATGTTTAAACGGTTCTCCAACAAAAATCCCTTGAAAACAACCTTTCGTTTTTGGTCGTTTGGCAAAAACCACGCAAAACGGCGTAAACTTGGCTAGCCGTGGTTTTTACTCAAATGACGTGGTTTTTAAAGTGTCTCACTTGATTTCTTAGCTAAATTCATCATATAAGTGTTTTAAACACTTGGTTTTTACTTTGGAGAACTTTGGATTTTTCGGTCAGTTTTTGCATCGGTTGGCTAGGCCGTGGTTAAGGCAAAAACCATGGGTTTTTGGATAACCACCCACCCAGCGATGGGAAGACCTTCCCATCGATGGGTAGGGGATCCTTCAGCCTAACCAAGTTCCAGAACCATGCCAAACAGCGATGTTATACCCGAACTCCGGGAATAAGCTTTAAGTTTGGGACAAAGCTTCTTAAACGGCAGGAGCAAGGAATAATCGATTATCAATTTATGATAATCGACTAACAAGAGGTTCAGTTTCTTGGGAAGGAAATTTGGTAGTTCAGGGAAGGGAAATAGTCGATTGTCACTTTAGCAACAATCGATTGTGGGATTGTGTAGTTTGAGACAAGAAGGATCAGAAGGGTGGGATAGTCGATTATCAATAGTTGATAATCGATTATTTTGGGCTTCGGATTCTGCCAAGGAAGTTCAGGGGTGTTGGATAGTCGATTGTCAGTGAAAGATAATCGATTATCAGGGTTACCCGAGGTTTCAATATGGAAGGAAAGTGGCTGGGCTATGTAGGAAAGTTATGGGAAGGAATGATAGGGTGTTTTATATGTTAAGGGAAGAAAAGAAGGGGATTTCAGAATGAGAAATGGAGGGATAGGGGGTGGAAGGAAATCAGGGATAGATATTACCAAGTTGGGGTTAAGAGATATTACACACTCTTATCTTAACTTGGGGTTGAGTCTAGTATTTAAATAAGATATGACACACTTATCTAAATAACTAGAACCTAAAACTCACACTCAAGAGAACCACTCTTAAGATATAGATTTAGGAATTTAAGATAGCACACACAAACAAGTGTAT